GACAAGGAACTGAGGGATGGGAGGCTGAGACTTCTGGGCGGCAGTGACAGCAATAGAGAAGGGATTCTTCGTCTGGTATTCAATGTGAGCACACCTCTTCCATCTCAATGAACATCTTACGCACCTTGGTCACCTTGGACAAGGACTCTTCAACTCGACGTGGCCTCTTTGCAGCTGGCGGCTTCTCCACAATCTCTATTCCATCTGATTCGTTGCCGTCAGTGGCACCATTGCGATCTTCTCCATCCACCTCCTCTCGAGCTCACTTCGCAGCAGGCACCTGTACGGCAATCTTCGCGCCAGATGCAATTGCTCCCGTAATGAGACGTTCAAGCCAAGCACTGCGAAAACTCTCCCGTTCGCTGGGTGTCATGTGTTTTACAGCCTTCTTGATCACAGAGACGAGTGGCAACAAGCAGGATCCTTGTTGTCGAAACAAGATCGGCTCTCCGGGCTGCAGCTTGTGTGTCTCGAATGAAACCTCGATGATGAAGCTGAGTTCTCCGAAGTAGCCTCGGTCCTCAAGCCTCTCATCATCAAATGCGAAGTGATATGGTGAGTCTTCGCGTGTCTCTGGCAGTGTCTGCGGAGCGACTGGAGGTGACGAATGCGAGCTGTGAGTTCCATGGAGGGGCCCGTGACAGGTTTCGGGACGCTTGCTTTGGCAGACATGGTGTGGTTAGAGAAGAAAGATTGAATTTACAATGTCTTATTTGAGTGAGGCTTAGCTACCGTGCTCTACTGGGGCCAGGCATTGTTTGCCAAAAAAGGAAATCAAGGACCATCTCACGTGCCGTCGCACAACAATGCAACGGTAACACTAACATGGCGCCCGGTCGCGTGTCTCTGGCCGTCGCGTAACGTAACGGTTCCGGAAGCCGTTGCCTGCATACACTCACTTACAGTATGTGACAATCAACCCAAAAAACAAAGTCGAAAAGAGAAGTGAATTCGAAGACTGGAGAATACAACCAAGTAGCTACAGTATTTATACCCAAATCCAGTCTGAGTCATATCTACAACTAATGAGTCATAGGGCTATGTACCGCATGGAACGCTGGTCATGGGTTGTAGTAGAACCTTCCGGAGCATGTGTTGCGCAGCCTCGAATCGATAAAGATGACCCCTGTTCCCCTAGCCCGGACTGTCAGATGCCGTGATCCGTGATAAGATAATCCGTGTCGAGATAAGATGAAAAAGAGTCGAATTATGACAATCTACAACAAAGAAATGCTCGCGATCATGCTATCATTGGACGAATGGAGGCAGATACTACTGGGAGCCACAGAAACATTCGAGATCTTCACTGATCATCAGAATCTCAAGTACTTCTGGAAACCACAGAAGCTCAATCGACGGCAAGCACGATGGATCACAGAGCTGGCGGAGTTCGATTTCACTTTACGACACCAGCCCGGCGCACTCAACCGCAAGGCGGACCTCTTATCTCGACGAACGGATCACAATCAGGGCAAGAACGACAACAAGGACGTCACGCTACTAAAGCCCTGAGTTCTTCCGATCACAAGAAGTCACATTCGAGGGGCAGGATCAGCAGCTAATCAATGAGATCAAGGCCGCTCGATCGATTGATGGAAGTGTCAAGGCAGCCCTGGAGAAGTCACTCGATGGATGGAAAAAGGAAGACGAACTCATCACATACCATGGGAATCCACGCCTCCCTCAACATTGCAATGAGTTTCTAGAGTCATATTCTCCCAGAATATGAAATAGATGGCAGGGGGAAACAAAAAAGTGCAATTTTTTTCGCACTTGCATTAGTACTACATCTCAATCTTCTTGAGTTATATCAATTCAATATTATGTTGCCTTGTACTATTTCCCTGCCATCTATTTCATATTCTGGGAGAATATGACTCTAGAAACTCATTGCAATGTTCAGGGAGGCGTGGAATTCACCCAGAGAGTCCCTATTGCACTCCCAATGTAAAAGTACATGCACCTAAATGAAACAGATACAGCCTGATTTTTAGATCAATGAAGTGCGGAAATTTTCCGAAATGGTTGCTACAATAAAGCAAAACATTGCATCGAGTTACTGAAGCAAGAATATATGCACTGCAAAGGGCACTTTGATTTCCAACATGTTACCATTGCTTTCCCTGCATTCTTTGTCTCTATGTTCATATTAACCTCAAGAACCCTTCTTTGTAATAATGAAAGCATGACTCATGTAAATTGGGCATGTAGAAATCACTGGTTATGTATCAAAGCAAGGAGGGTAGGAAATGGTTACTATGCATATATATATACAATGGCTGGTGCTACTATGAGATCCAAGACAGAAGTACATTACTTGAGAAGCATAGAATGTTAGAGAGAGATAGGGATGTACCTAGAGAAGCATGTGTTGTTATGGAAAGCTAGGTAGGGTATCACTGAAAGAATTGGGATATGGAGACATTGTACAACAATGCAGTGATTTTGAAGAGCACAAATGTAAGTGATTACATAACAGAATATACCCTGAAAACCTTAGGCAGAACCCAGACCATGAGCATTAGCTATTCCAAAATTGAGATGAATTTCCATTTTGGGTTGCTATAAGTTGCATCAAAATATCCCCAAAAGGAAGTCACATGTCCAATATGTTCAATTTTGATTATATAAGATGATTATCCAACCCGAAATAGAAGCTGTGCCACATTAATGATCCAATCACACATAGCCACATCAAGATGAGATTTTTCTTGGATTTGATTATCAGGGTCCACTATTGAGTAAGCAGATAATGTCAATCTGGGTCTAACAGATAAGATAAGATTGCCTGTATGAGGAAATGATGATGGTGACAACGGTCATAATCATCAGGACCCGCCGCCAGAGCGTCAGGATGAACCTCAGAGGACTCGTAGAAGTAGAATTCCACGACCAAGTCGGGAAGCTTCACCAGCTCCCGAGCCTCGAAGGTCTTCATGCCAGCGGAATGTGGAATGTGCCTACACGTCCAGGAAATGTCTATGGGGAAAAGCGTACCCCTACGGATATAGTCCGTGACATTCAGAACAGCAGAGGATGGAAGCGGTATGTTGGTGAAGATAAGGGTAGCTCCCAATCTCAACCATCAACCGGTGCTGATGCAGGGGTTCCCGGCCCTAGCTTGCAACCAGATTCCTCAAACGCGGGTGCTTCTGATGATCTAGACAAGGATGCACGCATGGAGAAGCTATGCCGGGAAGGGGGAGTAGAGCTCATCACGGCGCTGCTGTCAAAAGCGGTTCCAAATGAGAACCTACCTGATATGTCCAAAATTTGCAATTAGACATTCTGCGATATCAAGCAGTTGCCTTCTGAACAACAGAAAGGTTGGATTGATGCTTGCCGCAACAAGTTAGAGGCACTTTGTCAGCGCAAGCTCTATTCCCTTGTGGACCAACCGAAAGGACGGAAGGTTATCAGATGTCGCTGGGTCTTTGACCAAAAATCTGATGGCCAAAAACGTGCTCGCCTAGTTGCCAAGGGTTTCAGTCAAGTCAAAGGTGTTGACTATGACAAGATATTCTCTCCTGTCGTCAGGTATGAGACGTTTCGGCTGGTCATGGCACTTGCAGCGCTTAATGATTGGCATTGGTCTGGACTCGACCTCAGTAAGGCTTTTCTCTATGGAGAGCTTGATGAAGAGGTCTACATAGAACAACCACAATTTGTGGTGAGAGGCCAAGAGCGCAAAGTCATGCGCTTGCACAAGGCAATCTATGGACTCAAACAAGCTGCTTTAGCATGGTGGAAAGCGCTGACCAAGTCCACAAAAGCCATGGGCTGGATCCAACTAACATCAGATGCCGGCGTGTTCTTCTACAAGGACTCTGATGGCAGCATAGCCGTCATAATAGTCTATGTGGATGATGCACTGTTCTTCTCCAAGAACAGGAAGCTCCTTGCCTTTCTCAAGGCTGAGTTCAACAAGCAATGGGAATGCCGCAATTCTGAAGATACTCCAGAGTTCTTGCGCATACGCCTCAGTAGAGTAGGATCTTCGATCAAGATTGATCAGATTCCCTATCTCGACAAGGTGTTAGAGCACTTTGGAATGCAGAACGCCAAGTTCGCAGCAACCCCTCTACCGGCTGGATATGTTCCAATGCCAAACAAGGATGAAGTCAATCCAGAGCTCAGGAAGAAATTCCAATCAGTCATTGGATCTCTTCTCTTCATCATGCTAGGCACACGTCCTGACATTGCATTTGCAGTGACCAAATTGTCACAATTTGCTGCCAATCTGTCCCAAGACCACCTCCATAAAGCGCTGTATATCTGCCGCTATTTGGCTGGTAATAGGAATTATTTGCTCATTTTCAATGGTGCAATGGATAGAGGGCTAATTGCATTTAGCGATTCAGACTGGGCTGCTGATCTGATCAAGAGGAGGTCTACCACTGGTTTCTTCACAAAATTGGCAGATGGGATTATTTGCTGGCAGTCTAGACTTCAGCGCACTGTCGCGCAGTCTTCGACCGAAGCAGAGTACATGGCGATTTCAGATTGTAGTTGCCAGGTGATGTAGCTGAAGAGCGTCCTTTTGGAACTCCAGTTCAAGCTCACCATCTCAGTACCCATTTGTGGTGACAATCAGGGTGCACTCTTCAGTGGCAGCAATGCCTACCGAGACCGCAGGATGAAACACATAGACATCCACTATCACTACATTCATGAGCGAGTCGAGGAAGAAGAGGTTGAACTGTTCTTTATCCCGGGCAGTGAGAATCCTGCAGATATGTTTACCAAGAACCTAGGACGCATCAAGTTCGAGAAGTTCAGGTCTCAACTAGGACTTGAGTTTAACTCGTCCTGAAGGAATGGCCGATGAAGATTTTGCTTTCAAACACTATCCCGTGGTTTTCAGCGTGGGGGAGTGTTGATCAAATATCATCTGTCAAGATAGATGTTGTGATACACATCTATGACTCCATCACGTGTCATCTAGAGTCATATTGAATTGTCCCAAATAGACACAAACAGCCCCCTGTATCATATATAAGAAGGGCTCTATTACCCTTTAATACAAGTCTCTTGACTACTCCCACATAGTGCCTACACTAAGCTCTCACTCACACAGGTGAGCTGCTAGACGCTCTCCCCAGTACTCAACAGGTCCACCATGGGTCGCATCCTGTGTGCGTTTGTTGGTGCTGTTGTCAGGTTTGGTGTTGTTATGGCGCTTGGGAACAGAATTGACATTGTTATTATTGGTTTTGTTGTTTGTATTTCTGGGTCCGGTGTGTTGTTTCGTGATATGATCTTGAATAGCGTTGCTTGTCTGCTGCTCCTGAGGGTCTCTGGTGTGCTGGGTCTGCTTTCTTCCTCCTTTATTGCTTCTGCTGCTCTTCTTATGAATCTTCCGCGTATGTCCCGTGCGTGTTGGCTGCTACTGCGGTTCTTGTCTGCCACTTTTGCATCTTTTTCCTTCTTCTCTATGTGTTGCGTGTGTCAAGATTTGCTCTTGTCACCAGAGGGACTAGTGGCCCGATGCAACGGATCAATGATGCTTGCATGTGTGTGTCTACCCTGAGCCTATGTGATCCGCCTGAGTCACGTGCCTGTGCACGTGACCCCTACTCCAATAGTACTAGGTTTATATACTAGTCTGGAGCAGATATCATGATGTCATAGTGGAGTAGTGATATTATAGATGATTAATGGATGACACAATAATGAGGTCAGGTATGAGGTCATTGTGGAGTGAGCCAAAGTAATCTAAAGATACTACATATGATGTCATGTCTACATACTGTGATAGTTGCTAATACAAACAAGCTTCAACAAAAGGGGAAATAAAGCTGGAATTCATAATAATGAAAAGTACAATTTTTGTGCCTCGATATCTGTAATATAAGTTTTACTTTATGGCCTCTTTTGTTTGTGATCTGCTGGAGTGAATGGGCACCGGTGAAATGCTGAGGGTGTGCTCACAAGTGAATCTACTATGAAAGTAAACACAAATATAAACACGTTCACACTCCTCGTAATCAGCTTCTCAGTGTGTGAAAGATGCGAGGGCTTCGGGGTGGACAGAATACCAGTATCACAACTCTCAATAGACACAGATCAATAGTCGCGGAAGACAGAGTCGACGACAAGAATATATATATAGTAAACAGTGGTATCTCAACCAATATCTTCTATACGAACACAACCAACACTAATCCAATCCACAACCAACAATATAACAAGTCAGAGCTTAATACAAAGTATTAAGATCCCTTGTAGCGACAGCATCTAGATGGTGACGCAAAGCCCAAATATCAAGTCGACGCACTGCCAACTGACACAACCAAAAGTACTGAGTCGACGCACTGCCAACTAGTAAACCAAAATGCCGCGTCGACGCACTGCCAACTAACAGCCAATATCCAATGTCCAAAACCCGAGCACAACTTGTCGACGCACTGCCAAGCAAGAAGTGTGGAACCAAAGTTCTCAAGTCGACGCACTGCCAACTGACCAAAACAACCCGAGCACAACTAGTCGACGCACTGCCAAGCTAGAGGTGTGGAACGATCTCAACAAAGCCCAAAGGCGACGACACTAAATGCCGCGACTAAAACAGATGCGGCGAATCCGACTTTCTGATGTCTCAAAACTCAAACTCAAATCACAGTAGCTACAAGTGCTCAGGGAGCAAATCGTCGCGACCGGGCAGGGGTAGCAGAACTTCTTAGGGTGGAATCACACGGCACGCAAATTGTACAAAACAATCTGAGATGAGAGTGATTCACAGTCCGGGGGAAAAGCTTCCTAATACAAAGAAACGACGTGCTACTTATACTGTCTACGACAATGCTTAGTAAAGTCCTGTACAACTGCATAGTAGCTACGCTATCTAAGATCGGTTGCCTTTTAGGGTAATTGAAAAGTTGAACGATCGGACAGGTCCTGAGTGATCAGGACCCCGCCCCATAGTCCATATGATACTTTTGATGTGGGTCAACCCACCGCGTCATACTTTTGGAATACGACGTGCTGGATTGGCCAACGGGTATGTCTTGGCAGGTGAGACCAACGTGGGCGCCCCAAGAAGCCGTATGGCCCTAGGCACGCCAGTCGTCCCCCACATGGCTCGGTTCACGGATCTAGCCGTGTCAATTTTAGTGTGTTTGGGTATGGACGCGACTCGCCGTGACACTTGGAAGTGTCACCGCGACACGTCCACAATGTCCCGTGATCGAATGGATCCTGACATGTGACAAGTTGTTGCTGTGGCATGATCTGAGGAAACGCCCAACTCAAAACCGGGAGTTGCCGCGACAAGATTGGTTCAATCTCGTAACGCCAAGTCCTGTCCAGTAGTAGTTGTATTATTGAGAACGTCACACATTGCTCAGCCCTTCAGCCCAAGTTCCCATCTGCAGAGAATGACCCTTTTGAGAAGTCGCCGCAACAAAAGATCCCTTTTTGGGGAATTGTCGCGGTCCAAGCGTTCGTCACTAATAGCCCTGAGCCTGGTATAGACTCATAAGACCAGTTCCACAGTAGTGGTCTGACTGCCTTGCTATCATCGACACTATCCACAGTCATTGACTGGGCAGTAGACCCTTAAGTCCTACTGAGCACAACACTGTCAACTGCGACACAATACACCAAATGGTTCGAGAGTAAACTCTGTAAAAAGCGCAAAAATACGCCCTTACAGAGTTGGTGCAGAGCGCGTCTGGTAGCCAGCCTATCACCGGGTGATCCATTGCTTAGTGAGCTCTGCACACAGATTATTTATATGCAAACGATCACCCTTATTGTCCTGGGCACAGCTGTGAGACAAAGCCTAGCTGCACCATACCTCGACGTCAAACATGCTGACACATGTACAATGGTCGCGAGCAGTGTTTGGAAAGCAGTCTGTAGCTCAATCCCAGAGCCAGCAATGAGCTCTTGCATGCAAAAAGATATCATGTAGACAGCCACTATCATGCAGCAGGCTCGGTCGGAATCTTTTCGGATCAGATCACCAGCATGAGCTGCACAAGCGGAGGCCTGCGGTAGCTGTCAAATTGTAATCTGCTGGTTGATTAAACATGTCAGTCGTGAGGTGAAGTCCGTGTGAGTCCCAGACTCCCCGTAGAGGTACTGAGAACGAAAGATGTGGATCTGCAGGATGATGTGCCCAATTCAAGAGAGCTCTGAGCCAAAGCGCAAAATTCATGTTTGACGGGGTGAATGTGGTGCTGTGCGACTCGTGGGGCAGCGATCTGAGTCATGAAAGTTAATGAGTAAGACCGTCAGTGATGGTGGCAGTGTGAAACAGCTCGCCCCTCTCTTCCACCGCTCCATTCCACAAAGAACGAAGGACGTTGGGCCGACACACAGACCTGCCTTTTTGGGATGCTTTGGCATTTTGCCGAGGATGATTAATCGCTGATTCCTGATGACTCGGAGACTTTGCCGCAGCTCACGTGAGTGCCATGCAAATTGATACAAGTCCACGAGAAGCTTGTATAAACAAATTGAAATTGGACAGCCAAAAGAAATGAGTTGTATCAATGTATGCAGATGAGTGAATGTGAACTCGTAATATCTGTGTAGACTACTCCTATGCATACTGCACACAAAGATTATGTAGATTATAGTGGAGCAAACGAGGGGAGAGTACTTGCTAAGTAAGCCTAGTAATGCTAAGTAATTGATAAGTAATATTCTGTGATATTCTACAATAATAATGCAGACATTGTAAAGTACGACAGCTATAACTAAGGAGTATTGGTTGCTATGCATTATAACTGTTACTTTGAAGAGGTTCAGGCAAGGAAGGAAACATGATCCCACCTGCAAAGCTCTCGGCCCGGCTTGACTTGGCGGCTGGGTGGCAAAGCCTGTTGACTTCTGTCTTGAGGCAGCGTCGCAAGCGGCTCGAGGATGAATGGCGGGGCTGAAGACAAGTATGAAAGCCGACAATAAAGTGGGATGCACTAATGAGGGCAGGGGAGGAGGCGGGATAGATTGTTTATGACTGTTCCCATTACTTACAAATCTCTGAGGCTGCAGGAATAAACAAGGTCATGCGACCTTGAAGAGATGCATGATTTGCCGCCCCTGCCTTGTTTCGGCCGTCATGCGGCAGGCTTCCCAAAAAGGCAGGTCTGTGTGTTGGCCCAAAATCCAAGAACAAATGCAACATGGAGACATCAATGCGATCTCACTGGTGCGGGTCACCGAGATTGGGTGACCTTGGCTGTCACATTGCACGGGGTCATCGACCTCGATGACCTTGTTGTAGTCTACCAGCCCCTATGTACCTCTACTTGTGTATTCCCAAGTACAGCGCGTACTGATACAATTCTTTTACTGTTCCCCTCGACCTCCCATGACAACGCCAGATTACCTGATAGACCCAGTGCTTCTGGGCCAGTCTGTTGGCGATCCCCGCGGTCGGCTATCTCACGGGAACATTGGGGATTCCCACAGTCGGCTATCTCACGGGGACGTTGGGGATACTGCGGTGTGTCTTCCCACACGCCCTTTCATCGCGACCACAGCTCTACCCCCGTGCTCATCCACTCCTACACACGGCCGCGTGTTGCTTTGACTCTTGGCACATCGCGCACGCCTCACAACGAGCCTGGTCCAGCCCTCACAGGGTCTTCGTTCACATTGACATCCAGCTTGAGTCTCCGACCACATAAGACAGACGATGGATTGTTGGGCGAGACAGCACATGATTACAAGGCACGCATGTAAGCGACTCCTTGCCCTCTTTTCATCTGCCAAACTTCGCACTCAAACCTTGCACTTCAGTTTGCTTACGAAGTGAAAACGACCACTGCAAGATCTGTGTTCTGAGGTGGGGGTCCAGTGCTCCAAAACGGCTAGCATTTCCAAATTTGCTGAGACGCTCGTGAACCACTTGTATGCCGCGCTGCGCATCTACACAAAAAATTACTGATCCATTGATCTTCTGCCAGCTACCCTTGCTCTAGTGGCTCATATCATGTGGGCTCTTGTAAAGTCAAGAAGCCGCAACGCAAGACTCATGGCACACAGCAGGAGGTGCTTGAGGCTGCTCTCACATCTGGGAGTCGGCCGTACGTTCTAGCTGCGCCAGCTGGAAGTCATGTTCTGCCTTCGACAGCACCCCAGCGAGGGGAGTTCCACTCTGCTGTCCCGCTACTCGTCTCACTCCCTGCTGTGTCACGCCCATCCATTCCACTTGGCCCTGGCTCTTTGGATTTGATCCTGCCGGCTGCCTCTGCGCAACAAGCTCTGGTCGCCTCTTTACCTGATGACGGTGACTTGTCACAAAACACCAACGCCTATGACAACAACGCAACATGGCTGCCGATGCCATCACAGAGCCAATGCAACAATGACAACAACGACACGAATAACACATTGACTTTTCGTTGTCACCCCGGTGACTCGCTAGACGAGGATTCAGATGGAGCACTGCTTCGGTATTTCCATGCTGATGCAGCTGCTACTGCCCAGGTTCTGGGGCAGGAAGACGGTGAGGACGATGAAGATAATGATGCTGGGGAGAACGACAGGTCTGAGGATGGAAGCTGTAATGACTCGTTCGAGCGCCTTGAAGCAAGAA